GTGCTACTGGCCTGCCTAAAGCACCTACATCATTTGCCCCCCACTCTCGAGGTCGCGGTAGAGGTCTTGGCTGAGGACCTCGTTTCAGCCGAAAAGAGTGTGTCATCCTTGCTAGGAGGCGCCGAGTGGTCTTCTATGGCGAGGGCCTTGGCTATAGCCAAGCTGGTGAGACTTGAGAGTGGTCTTCTGGTGTGGAGGTGATGAGGCCGAGGACCTATGGAGCCCGAGTACTGCTAAGGCTAAGGACCTGTGGAGTCCGAGGACTATTGAGGCCGAGGACCTGTAGAGTCCGATGACTGTTGTGGCTGAGGACCTATGGAGCCCGAGGACTATTGAGGTCGAGGACTGTTGAGGCCGAGGACCTATGAAGCCTAAGGGTTGTTGAGGCCAATGACCTATGAAGCCTATGGGCTGTTGAGGCCGAGGACGTATGGAGCTTGAGGGCTATTGAGGTCGAGGACCTATGGAGTCCAAGGACTGCTGAGGTTGAGGACTTGTAGAGTTTGAAGACTGTTGAGGCCGAGGACCTATGAAGCCTAAGGGCTGTTGAGACCGAGGACCTGTGAAGCCTAGAGGTTGTTGTTGAGGCCGAGGACCTATGGAGCCTGAGGGCTGTTGAGGCCAGCGACCTGTGAAGCCTAAGGGCTGTTGAGGCCGAGTACCTATGAAGCTTAAGGGCTATTGAGACCGAGGACCTGTGAAGCCCAAGGGCTGTTGAGGTTGAGGATTGCGGAGGACGAGGACCTATGAAGCCTATGGGCTGTTGAAGCCAAGGATTGCTGATGTTGAGGACCGTATTTTGCACGGGTACGAGGTGTGCGTGGCCCCAGTCGTGTGCTTTAGATTAGTTGATGAGTCCGTGCGTGGGCCAGGCGTCTGTCGAGAGATATGTAGAGGGGACTGCTGTCTGAAGTGACGATGCTTCGAGAGGTTGGTAGAGGGGGTAGCCGAGGTGTGGCCGCCGAGGTGTGACTATTGAGGGGGCAGATGAGGGGCCGCCACGGTGTGGTGAAGGGGGCCATCGAGGTGTCCGTTGGGGGTGTGACCACAAAGGGACCGACCTAGGTGTGATTGCCGAGGGGCCAGTTGAGGTGTGACCGTTGGGGCTGTCGGGGTCATTTGGTGTTTCTAGTCATTTCGTTGGAAGCTTAACTGCAGATTGGGGGAAGTCTTAGTAGTCATTCCCACAGATGGTGCCAATTGTTGAGGCTTAGGATGGGCTGAGGACAACTCTATAACTTCGCTTCCCGAATGAGCTGGTAGATGGAAGCGCCCATTATGGCCTAGGTCAGCCATAACGAACGTGTGAAGCTCGTACCTATGAAGCTTAAGGGCTATTGAGGCCGAGGACCTGTGAAGTTCAAGGGCTGTTGAGGTCGAGGATTGCGGAGGCCGAGGACCTATGAAGCCTATGGGCTGTTGAAGCTGAGGACTGCCGATGCTGAGGACCGTATTTTGCATGGGTACGAGGTGTGCGTGCCCCCAGTTGTGTGCTTTAGAGTAGTTGATGAGTCCGTGCGTGGGACAGGCATCTGTCGAGAGGCATGTAGAGGGACCGCTATCTGAAGTGATGATGCTTCGAGAGGCGGGTAGAGGGGGCAGCCGAGGTGTGGCCGTCGAGGTCTGACTGTTGAGGGGGCAGCTGAGGGGCCGCTGCAGTGTGGCGGAGGGGGCCATCAAGGTGTCCGTTGGGGGTGTGACCAGAAAGGGACCAGTCTAGGTGTGATCGCCGAGGGCTAGCTGAGGTGTGACCATCGAGGCTGTTGGGGTCATTTGGTGTTTCTAGCCATTTCGTTGGAAGCTTAACTACAGATTGGGGGAAGTCTTAGTAGTCGTTCCCACAGACGGTTTCAATTGTTGAGGCTCAGAATGGGCTGAGGACAACTCTATAACTTTGCTTCTCAGATGAGCTGGTAGACGGAAGCGTTCGTTATGGCCGAGGTCGGCTGAGATCGAGGAGTGCCGAGGCCGAGGACTAGTGGAGTCTGAGGAGTGCCGAGAACGAGGGCCAGTGGTGTCTGAGGGGGGCCGACTCCGATGGTCAAGTTGAGGGCATAGCAAAGAGGGCGGACGAGGCCTAAGTAGAGTAGCTTAGATGAGGTCGCCCAGGAGCTAGAGTGTTTGGAGTAGCGGGTTTCCAGCCCAAGTTTTAGATGATTACCTTGAGGGGGTAGTGCCTATTTATACTTTAGACTGCCATCCGAGGTCGCCGTGTGTGGCCACGCTCAGCCGCATGTCGACGTGCTACTGGCCTGCCTAAAGCACCTACATCATATAATATATGCATATATTTATATATAATATAGATAATATGTGACATATATTAAAAATATATAATATACAAACAAATATATAAACCTGTTGGTTCGATTAACTGCATTTGCCTATTTGGTTTTCTTGGTTCAGTTGGGTTATTCAGTTTTCTTGTCAGGACTTAAACTCAATTCATTAGTGTTCTCCACGGTCTAAACCAACCCTTGGGCCCTAGCCTTCCTTCTAGGTGCAAAGCCAAGCCCATTCCCTAAATCAAGAAGATCATGCCCAATAACCACTTCCATGGCATAATTTGAACTTAAATTAACAATCAAAGTCAGTTTGGGACCCACTTAAGCATCCACCCCCTCTGAGAGGAGTGGGACTAGAGAAAGCTGCTCACCCGACTTTGGCGACACAACAACAATCTATGCCCCCAAGTGATGGGAATGACTCCTTCAAGCAATTCAAGACTTATCTCAAGTCTCTTCTCTGGTGCTAACTGTATGTTAACTACCACCTACCAAAGGCTCCAGCTCTATAAATGCCAACTACCCTCAATAGATTGAAACACTCTCTCTGAATCCATTAACACTCACTTAAGTCTATGATTAAAACGTGTAAACAAGGACTCAAGGCCCTCAACCACTAATCTAATAACAAAGACTTCCCTTAACACTTCCACTAGGGGTGAGCATGGGTCGGTTTGGTTCGGTTCCATGGCAAAACCTAGAACCTACCCTATAGGGGTCGGTTCTAGGTTTTTGGAACTGGAATCTACCTTGTGAAGGTCGGTTCTAGCCTTGGCGGTTTTGGGGTCAATTCTAGGGTCTACCTGTGGAACCTGTTCTTTCACTCTTCAAGAGAAAAATGAAACATGTCCTTCAAAAACTTGATTTTCAATAATGGTAATATATAATTTAAAACTTATATTATCTTTATAGGTTAAATTGAATAATTTAATATGTAGATTATCATAATATATTAATATATGGTTAAAAATTCGTCATTATAATTTAATTTTTTAAATATTACCTTTTATATTGTTTATTATACACATACAAATATTAAAAAGAAACAAATGATCAAATCACTTAAGTAACTTGATAGTCAAGTGAAACCATGGCTTTTGTAACCATGAGTGTTTGGGCTCAAACCTTCACATCCTTAAAAATATTTTGGGGTTTACTTCAAGGCAAGGTTGGTTCCAAGGCCGGTTCATCGGGCCGGTTCGGGTAGGGTAAACCCCTAGACCATAGAATTGACCTGAGTGGGGGTTAGTTCCAAGAATTTGGAACCAGACCCTACCCTGCAATAAGATCGGGTAGGGTTAGTTCAAGGCCGGTTCGAGCTTGGTTCCATTTGGTTCCGGGTAGAACCTACCCATTTCCTCACCCTAACTTCCACCTTCAAAGACTTGGGAAGTTCGAATAGGGCATTCACCCTAACTACCAACCTCAGAGTTTCAACATCCGATCAACTAAGGTTCTTAGTCATCACCCCAAAAACGACCTAAAGCCTTGCCAATTTCCTTAAAATCCTCCCAGTACCAAGCATGTAACGGGAGGTCGAGGCAGTGAACCCTCCACCTTTGAAAAACATTGAAAAGAAAACCTCTCTCCAGATCTGAAGCATTGAAGGAGGGCTAGTTCCTTCCCATTAAAACGATAAGGGCTCTTTTCTACAAGTCTCGTTGCCGGCTTTTATTTCAATAGAAACAGAAAGTGACCTCCCACCAAAAGTTGAACCCTAATCTCATTCTTGTCATTCCAAGCCTGTCACCTACCTCTTCTTGAAGTGAAATTCATGTAGATTAGAGCAATCTTTTTTATACTTGCATCAAATTATAACTGGATAACAGGATTTCATTAACACGGAGAAAATAATTTGTAACATCAAGGATAGTTTAAGGGGGAAGAGTGTTCAATTTTTCCTTTAATATTATACCGTAATTTTTTCAGGTACTCTTGTAAAACCCTTAGTAGTATTTGCTAAAACCATGCATGTTCGACACTGAAAATATTTGGCTCCTACATGGTTGGAGCCTAGAGGACATGTGTCTAACAAAAGGCATTTTATTGGTTAGTTTTTGAGTTTAGAGTTAGGCTATAGGGATTTAAGGGTTTAGGGTTTTGAGGTTTTAGGACTTTAGAGTTGAGATTTTAGGGTTTAGGCATGAGAATCAAGAGGTGGTCGGAATCTTTAATCCAACCACTGTAGAAGCTACATCCTTTCTTACAAAATTTGGTCAAAAGCAAACCTTTGAAAATTACTGGGCGTGGTGGAATGTTGATGCAGAAGATAAGCCCTAATCTTTTCTCTGTATGTCTCAGCTCTCATTCACGAATCATTGTCAGCCATGGTCAGGAAAAAGGATTGAGAATGGATCAACCAAAAATGCTAAAGGGAATACTTTCTAGTTTTACCAGAGGAGTCTTATGAAGCTTCGAGGAATTGTTTGTGGTTCGATTTGGAACCCTTGGTCGTTTTGAGGGATTTGGGGTTTTCTAGGCAGATTTCTGGTACGTCCTAAAATCAATATTCTGTTAATTCAATCTTCATAATTTATTTTGTAATCCAACTTATCTCATCATTTTGTGCAATTAAAACAGGCACTTAACTGATTCTCTCTTGGGCCATACGCATGTAAGATTGTTAAGGCTCTCTCTCTCTCTCTCTCTCTCTCTCTCTCTCTCTCTTCATCTATTTCCTATCCAAATTTAAAGCTGTTGAAACTTTGTGTCTAGATGCAGCGCATACCACATAACCATCAAAATGATGGAGCGAACAATATGGTAGATGCAGCTGAAACTTCAAATAATTTATGGCCACCATTTGAGGAGGATCCCACAACGTACGACCAACAAAATGATGGGAACAACATTAATTTTGTCGATCTAGATGAAACTTCTAAGAATCCATGGCCACCATTTGAGGAGGATATCATACCTTATAACCAAAATGATGGAGAAAACAATATGGTGGATCCAGCTGAAACCTCTGAGAATCCATGGCTACTATTTCAGAAAGATATTATCACAGGTGAGAGAGACACAAGCATTATCCCTCATCAAGAAGACTTAATCATGGTGCAACAACCATCAGAGGAAGCCTTGGCTGCAAGTAGTGTGAATCAGAACAATAAAAAGAGAGCCCGCCGGTTGAAGCGTTTTCAATCTGGAAAGCTAGTGGTGCAACCTGATACAGACGAAGGGTCGCTCGTGAAAAAGCACGATCACAATGCAAAGGAGAGGGTTCGTAGGATGAAGCTCAATGCTTCCTATTTGGCTCTTCGTTCACTACTTCCAGATTCTCATAGGTCAAAGGTAGTTCACAACCACTGTTACTTTTTCCCTCTTTCATCTTCAAGGATTCTCCCTGTATCTTGCAACTACTTAATTTAATTTCTTCTAGATCTGGTCCCTGTGAGGTGGTACAAATTAAATCAAACTGGCTTCACTTGGGTAGAAGAGGAGATCCTTCAACAGACCAACAACCTACCTGCTTCATCTTTTTCTGGGTTCAAGTTAATGGATCGAACCATGAGAATTATTTCACTACTCAGCTAGATTCTAACTGTGTAGTTGATCAAACTGAGTTTTAGTACTGTAGAACGTAGTAGAACCGACCTTTTTCGGGGCACAAGGAAGAACTTGCGAACAATGCATGGGTAATTTTTGACCCGACCAAAATGCATGTGATCAACCCACTTCTACCCTAGATTTGAGCATATGAAGCACCCAAGCTCATTATGACAATTGTATTACAGTTGGGTATTCCTTTTAGTTCATTCAGTAAAGAGGATATCTAGTATATAGTGTAATTGCTTACAGAATTTGGTTGTCGGTGTTCTTGCAGAAGAAATGGAGTGCTCCTGTTGTAGTGGGTAAAGTTCTAGAATACATTCCAGAGTTGGAGACTGAGATTGAGGATCTTACCCAGAAGAAGGAACAAATGATCTCCATGATAGAAAAGAGGCAGATCACTCCCATCCAAGCTTCACCTTCAGAATTCGAAACTCCCACAGTTTCAGTAACTGAAGTTAGAAAAGGGGAAGTGATCATTCAAATATGCATGAAGAGAGAAAATTCTAGTGTTTTGTCTACTCTAATTGCTAACGCTGAAGGTGAAGGAATGCAAATTGTCAGTGCTTCGGCTCTTCCAGTCTCTGATGACAGAGTTTGCTACCATCTACATCTTCATGTAACTCTCTAGATCTTATCCTTAATCATGTTGTCTCTTTTGCACTTCCTTCCTACCTATGTGACTAGTAGTCCTATCATCATCATCCTAATATGATTTTATTAGGGTCCTATTTCCATGGGTTGGTCCAGCTTCACTACTATAAGTAGGGTTATCATTGTTGTTATTTTGATCTAGAAAAAAAGAAATTGAAACTTTATTATCTTATCTCTATTGACCAGGTGAATGGAAGTTCCGAAAGATCCGATTACATTGAGGTGTTAAGGACTAAGATACTTTCATGGTCGTGCGAGAGTTCATCTATTCACCGGCAAGACCAAGATGGAGATAATATCTTTTAGTAGAAACGGGTGTTAACATTAACTGCTACAGATCATCCCATTTTTCTTTTCTTTTATGTATTGTTCAAACTTTATTAATGTCTCCAAAGAGACATCTCAATTGTATTTTCTTTTTGTATTTGGTAAGAGTTCAAATGCTGAATCAAAGTGAATTCTGCAATTTTGCAGGCAATGGATGAGAATACGTTTTTGTATTAAAAATGAAAGCAAGTTTTTTTTGACATTTTTGCATCCAAAATGGGAGCAATGTTGCAAGGTTTTTAAAATTGAACTGGAGAACGAACCAGTTAGGGGTTCGGTTCTTGGGTCAAACGGTCTGACCATTCGAATTGAACGGTTGGTCCATTTTGACAAAAAAACAAAAAAACTGTCAAAACCGTTCGAACAGTTCGAACGATTAACCGTCTGGGTCAGCAGTTTGCTGACCAAAACAGTTTTTAGGAAAAATCCAATTTTGAAGAAAAACGGACCAATTCTCGATTTTCCGATCCGACCATCCGGTCCAATTTTGAAAACCATGTTGCTTTAAATAACTGTTGCATCCGTGAAGAACCATACATATTTATATTTGCATTTGCGCTCTTGCCACATGCGCGCAATTCTTTTTGGTTTTTAGCATCTATTTTAATGTGATGTGGTTTTAAAAGTACAAATGACATGTGAGCAATTAGTGTATGTAATGATGTGCGCCCATCATAGAAAGCATAGAAAGGCATGTAGTGCAACATGGATACTGATTGAACTTTTGGAAAGGGAAGAAAGAAGCCCAAGTAGTACATAGAATAAATATAACGTGTAGACAGAGCAGCTTGACATATTCAACCCAAATAAGCTTTGTTGTTAGTTGTTACAACTAGTGGATTATATGATGAAGCACTAAGTATAACGAAATAAAAGAAAATAAAATGACATGGTTTGGGGATGGAAATTTTCCTTATTTCTCCAAGATGACAGTGACGTTGGTTCGATGGAAAAATTTGAGAAAGAGGAGGGAGTGAGGAATGGCTTGAGTTGGTTCGATGACAGTGACGTTGGAACCCAGAAGCAGGAGCTGGAGGGGTCGCACTCCCCTTCTCCGTTCGAACCCAGAAGCAGGAGGAGGTTCAGGTGACGTTCTCTGCCGACGCCCCAGGTGGTGCTTTGATTCCCCTTCCCCGTTCATTGTTCGCCGTTCGCCGCAGCAGGAGCTGGAGGGGTCGCACTCCCCTTCTCCGTTCAAACCCAGAAGTAGGAGGAGGTTCAGGTGACGTTCTCTACCGATGCCCCAGGTGGTGCTTCGATTCCCCTTCCCCGTTCGCCATTCGTCGTTCACCGTAGCAGGAGCTGGAAGGGTTGCACTCCCCTTCCCCGTTCGTCGTCGACAGGCGATGCTTCGATTCCCTGAGGGCGGTCCCTAGGTGACGTTCCCTGAGGGCGGTCCCAAAGTGATAATAACCAGAACCCCAACGGGAAGAAAGCTCCCTCTGTGCCCAGCTATAGCGTTCTCTGCCGTTTTGAACTACCATAGTTACAGAAACCGCCGGTCAGACGGTCGAGATTTCATTCTTCCAGTTTCTCTGCGCCCAGCTATGGCGTTCGGTCACACGAGCAAGAAAGCTCCCTACTTCCAACGTCGATCCATACTACTTCGGAAACGCGATTCAGAGCATTCCAACGGTCGCTTCTGCTACACGGAAATGTAATGGCGCGGAGATGATGAACAGTGCTTTCTCGGCAACCCCACTTATTAAATTATTAAAATAGCCTTAATATAAGGGTTTTTATAAAAGGAGAAGTACCGATCAACCTACATCAGAATTTACTAGGCCCAAAGTACAGGCTAAATGATGTAATTGCAGAGGGCGTTGTAGGGGGTTGAAATTCAGAATTCTGCATCGTATATTTCCGTACATTTTCCTTTTATAAATGGATTTAGGAGCTAGCTAGCTAGGTGTGCTCTATCATTAGGAGCTAGCTAGGTGAAAGAGGAGGTAGGGTTGCAAAAGTTAAACATTTGCTTCAGCTGGAGTGTGCTCTATCATTGAGATGAGTTACTCTCTGTGAGCAGAGAGACCTCGATACCTCATCTTTTCACAGTAGTTTTTGGATGGAGAACCCAGAAAAGATGATGGACAACCCTGCGGTGTTGAAAAAGAATAATCTCAAAAAAGTTGAAGAACCAGAGACCTTAGGAAACAATAGCTTGTATGTGAAAATTCTCTCGAACGGCTACTATGTGGAAAAATTGATAGTAACATCATATGGATCCACTTTGGAAACTCTGAGTACCTAGAGGATGCTCTCCAATGAACCATGGGAGCATCAAAGATTTACCTCTGCTACTCCATAGATGGTCACCGGAGTGAAGCCCAGAAACATTACCTTTAATACGATGGATATCTAGGTTCGAGAGTTGGATGTTTCGGTGGAAAATAGGTCCAGTGTGACTGCAAACCTGCTAGCAAAGGACGTTAGCTTTGGTGATCATGAAAGAACCAATGTCAAGGAATAGCAGAAGAAGACCTCTGTGGGATAAAGGACCGAGAGTTCGAGTGAGGATTGATGTGAAGGAGCCCCTGGCAAAAGGATCGTGGGGTGTTCTTGAGAAAGGAAAGGACTGGTTCTCGTTTCAATATGAGAAACTACCAGTTTTCTGCTAATGGGTGTGGAAGGCTTGGTCATGTTGAGAAGAACTGTACTGTGAAGAAAGATTCAAGAGCCCTAGAAGTAGAGCAACTAGTTAAAAGCATAGCTCGAATATGATGGAGGAATCAAGAGGACCTGTGGCTTACGGACCTTGGCTCAAAGCTGATGTTGGAATTGAAGAAGACAGATTCATCAATTTTAGTTTCAAAGAAATGGGAAAGAAAAAAAACCAAAGATCTTGTAGACGAGAAGAACCCAGGTGATGAGGTGGCATGTAAAAAAGAGAAGAACCCAAGTATGGCTGAAGTCCCAGAATCTGATCAAGCAAAGAATCTTGGATTAGGAAAAGAGCAGTTCCAAGGAGAGAACAACGGACAAGACCTGTTAAGCTCCGGCAACTTCTAGGGTAACTTCAAAGTGGTTTTTTCTCTGACAAAAGTCTTTTGGCCAGGACCGACCTTCCTCTCCAACGGGAACTGGGCTCGAGGTGGGAATAGAAGGGCAGCTTCTGATATTACCTTTCTGGTGAAAGGCCGTAGGATCGACCAAGTTTA